GACATTTTCTTATAATTTTAAACCATATTAATTATTTTCCTAAGTTTTATTTTATGATTGATTGATTGTGAAATGGTTGCTTATACATGTTTAAAATCTATCCATGCTTAGAACATGCAAGAATGCGCAATTCATTAAAAATAGATTATCATAATATTTCTGTACCGTCCCTATTTTATAAATCTAACCTCTAAATTATGATATTTATTTATATATACTCTAGTTGGTTTTTCTTTTGAAGACAACTTTTTAACTGCTTTTAAGCAGCTTTTTAGTATACAATTATTGAATAGAAAGTTTTATAATGCTAGAAGCTGCTTTAGAAAGAGTAGAACATTGTATCCAAATGACAACCTTAATACATATCAAAGTATCCTCATAAACATATGTATTTCATTTAAAAATTTTGTTAATAAAATCCTATTAAATTTGGTTTATTTAGAATTGTTTTAAATGAAATATACTTAGAATTTTTTGGGTCCCATACTTGGCGATTCCTTAGTAGATAATTCTTAAGCTTTGTAATTGATAAGTAAATAAGTAAATTTTAAAACCTGTTTATATAAAATAACTTTGGGTTAGTTCTTTTTCTTTTTTTTCATTACACACAAAAAATGTGATACCACAAACATAATTTTGTTTGTTTGAAGTTATGAATGCAATAAGTACACAAGCTGTCACCAGAAGAAATGTCCTTTGGTCATTTGGACGATTTTTTTATTACATAGTTTCTTAACACCAGTTTTTTTAGTAATCAAAGTTAAAAAAATCTTATCTTCAACAAATATTTTAAGAAGCACGTAAAAAATGTATTCCAAATGATAACACTTTAGTACGTCCTCCTTGACATAAACTAAAACAATAAAAACGAATTAATTTAAGAAGTAAAACAAAATCATTAATTCCGGCAATTCACACCTTATAATAATAAAAAAAAATAAAAAATATCAAAACAGCTAAACACGCAGGACGGTACAATAATCATTTTCATACGTATGAAAATGTAGACATTATTAATTCGGCGAATATTCAATAATTTAAATATGTATTTTTGTCGGGGATGCCCCTTAAAAAATAAATTAAAAACAGCCCTAATTAAATTCACGAGTAAAATGGTATGTATTTAATAAATAATATTAAAAAAATACAAAATATATATTTATAAAAATAAATTTCTCTGCTACTGTCTTCTCTTCATCATATAAATACCCAAGCATCTCAACTGTTTCAAAGCAGTTGTATTAAATTTAGAAGCAAAGAGCCAAAATGAATTACAGGCATCAGTATATTTTATATATATAAATGAAAAATGAAATAGGTTCCTCCATATGCCTCAGTGACGTTTATTTTTGTTGATTCAAGATTTTATGATGGTAGAAAAATATAAAATTTAGCGTCCTAGTTTTGTCCTAGCATTATACGATGATCCGACAAGGAAACAGAAGAAAGATTGGGGTGTAGGGTTCATAAGAGACAAATATTTTTTTTCGTGGAAACCCCTAAAAAGGAGGGTAAACTATAGGGCCTAGCCCATTTTAAATGAATCCATAGTATTTGCCATTGATTATAAATTAGGCCTTTCCTTAGGGTGAGGCATTGGCTCAATGTAACAAATGTACATCATATATAGTGCATTTCATAATGGGAGTTTGAAGGATCGTAGTTGGACAACGATGATCGGAATGATTGTGGTAAGGCGACGATGGTCGAGGAAACCATAATCTAGAGATGGGGGTTGGAGAAAGGATAGTCGGGTCACAGTGGCCGAAAGGATCGTTGTCGGGTGATTGTGGTTAGAAAGATCGTAATCGGCTGGTGACAAAGGTCGAAAAGACAGTAGTCAGTGATGATCGTCAGAAGAACCATAGTCGGCGAGCAGCTGTGGTCGGAAGGATCCTAGTCTAGAGATGATTCATGGTTGGGAGGAAATCTTGAGACAATCAGTGGCTGGGCATACTTTCGACGACATTGGTGATCGGCAGAAATCTCACGAAAGTCCGGCGACGGTCGTTGGCCGGATGTTGGTTGAGGAGGAGTTTTGTGGCAAGAGAACTCCATGATTTATTCATTTTCTCTCTTTCTTCCTTTGCTCCTCCGGTGAAAAATGAGGGGTTTATTTATAGTCTTTCGAGAGTGGAATGATCAGAAAATAAGGAGAAGATGAATGGCAGATTTTGGGTGTTTTACATAAATGTTCGATATCGACTCCCTCAAATTTTTACCATGTATCGAGTATTTAATATGTTAATGATGTCACAATAAGAAGATCTTGGGCTTGTTGGATTCGTCTCGTCGAGCTGCTCAATCATATTATAAACATGTCACATTTGGAAATCATATGGTTGTCCAATTTATGGTTTAAACCTTTAAAAGCATTTTGGGTGCTTCATTTGGACCCATTTTGGCTCGGATTTGGCCGAATTAAGTGTTGTTTGGTCCATCTTTTCGATTCATTCAGTTCAACTATAAATTTACTGAAATCAGAGTTCAGATGATCCTGAATTTAATTTCGAAAGTTTATAATATAATTTTACCTAAAGATTCGCGCTCGATCAATATACTTTTTTATGATATATCAGTTACACCTTATTTTGGACCTCAAAGTTAGCATCGTCTAAAAATATGTGTCGAAGCTCTTCAAATCATTCCAATGCAAAATTATAATTTTCAGAAAATTTCGAAGCCAACCGCTTCGTAGACATCATTGTGGCCCTCCCATTGATGTCGTGAACCAAATAAAATGCTCTTAATTATAAATTTAGTCTGTCCTAAGATCACGGCATTGACCGAAACAAAAATTGTTGAAAATTTGCACTCCAAAACTTTCAAAATTGCTCAAAATTCTAAAATTTTATGTTAATTAAATATTACATCAAAATTTGTGCTTTAACATAAGAATTTAGTATTTGTAAGGCTGAATTGTAGATGAATGGTCATAAGATTTGGATTCATGATGAGAAAGGTTTAAACCTTTCAAATTTGAATGCTCTAAAGACTTAAATGATGTAGGCCTCAACACTATGATATGCATCTGAATTTATTCAAATTCAAACTGTTTTGCATTAACCATTTGTAATTATCCACTTAGTTCTATAGAATTTAAAAAGATTTTGAAGAAAAAAAGAATCAATGCCCATCTCTAGAAGAGAAAATTCTGGCCCTTGGAGGTAGGGGTGTCAATTTCGGGTCACGGGTCGGGTTCGGGTTGAACCCGAAACTGACATGGCACTATTCAGGTCAACCCGAGCCCGACCCGTTTTTGAAAATGGGTCAGTTTTCCTGTCACAAACCCGACCCGCTTCGGGTCCGGGTCAACCCGACACGACCCGAAAGACCCATTTCCAACAAGAAAATGCTAGTTTTCGGTTCAAAAACGGGTCTATCTCCTCTTTTTCGGGTCAAAATTGGGTTTTCGGGTCAAAAACGGGTTAGTTTCGGGTCAAAAGGTTAATCCGACCCGATTATTCAAACGGGTCAAAAATGTTGAACCCGAACCCGACCCGTTTCGGGTTCAGGTTGACCCTAACCCGAAATTTTCGGGTCGAGTTCGAGTCGGGTTTTCGGGTCATGTCAAATATTAACACCCCTACTTAGAGGTAACCCAATTCAAATACTTTCTTACTGGTGAAATAAGTTCTTTTGCCCTAGAAATTTCAAAACAAGCAGGTAGGACTTCTACTAATTAATATCAAGAAAAAAGAACAATGAAAGACAAAGTTTAATAATATTTTAAAACTAATTCTCTTTCATTCATTTGAGTGTTAAGAAAATTCTCAATGATAGAGATTAAATCTTTGCATTTTAATTTTTCATGAAGATCCAATACACACAAATAATAATAAAAAAATCATATACTCCAGAAATTTTACATAGAAAGTCTGGAAAGTGAAAAAAAAAATCACAAAACTTAATCTGAACGAGATGATCCACTATAGATCTGCTCCAGAAGTCTGATCTCACCATCAATTGGAGAAGACGAGATTACAAATTAGTATTTTATAAATGTGACGGAGGATGCTGGAGATGCAATAGTTAGTTGATATTAGTTGGAAGATGATTGTTAGATAATATCAGTCAAGTGACAATGATCTAGAGATGATGATCAGATGACGACAATTAAGTGATAGAAGTTAGATAATGATAATCAATTGACAATAATTGGTAGTCAAATGACAACAATCGAGCGATATCGATTAAACAATGACAATCAAACAACATTAGTTGGTCTTCAAATGACGGTGGTCAAGTGATAACGATAAGATAATGGTAGTCAAGTGATGGTGGTCGAGTAATGACAATTAGACAATGACAGACATACAATAGAGTCCCGGAGATGGTTTTCAGATAATGGCAGTAGGTGATGCATGACGGTGGCGGGTTGTGATCATCGGTTTCAACTTCAAGTATAGCTCTATAATTCTTCAAATCTCCGAGCTCTCTCCCAACTCAAATCCAAGCACACTTTATGTAGAGAAAGAGGGTTTATTTATAATACTTTTAGAGTGAGTATTTGATTCATTTGGGCTCATATTAAATCACCATTCGTGTGGTTGGTTTCATCTTCTGAAGATGCTCAACTTTTGGTTTGATTTCGTTGAAATCAAATTGCGGATGATTCTGAGTTTAATTTTGAAAGTTTTGTATATAAACATTATGTCAAGATTTGTCTTGATCAAAGTAATTTTTCTTAAAATATATCAATAAGAAAATTATTATTGATACGGCATCACAAAATCATCTTGATCGGGCACGAATCTCGAGGCAAAAACTAATTGGAAGCTTCAAAAATTAATTTCAGGAGCATATGAA